ATCAAAGATTTATGCAACGTAAACCAAATTAAATAAAAGACAACATTAATCGAAACAATTGTATTAGACTTAAGGACATTTAGTTTATTTTAAGCAACGCAATAATACATCAAAAGGAGAATCAGTGAACAACATTGTGATATTAGTTGACAACAAAATCAAATTACTTCCATGCCCTTTCTATATCATTTGCCGATCAGGTCTGAGCCTTATTGTTTGACGAGTTAGCTTGTTCTTTGAGGTGCTGCATTTTGAGGAATGTTTTATGGTGCTATGTAAACTAATGCTTAGCTAGATTAAGTTAGTTCGCCGACCTGTAGTTGTGGTTTAAATCGACAATCCTTAGCAGCCATAAAAACAAAAATAAATAACTCTAACTAGAAACCAGTCAAGTACTTATAGGAAAGGAAACTAACTCTCTTTGAAACTAGATCCATTATTTAAATGCATGCCCTTTCGTAAGGTTTAAATTATGAATAACTATTGTAAAAATTAGTTTTCTTTAACAACAATTAAACGAAACTAGGATACTTTTCAAGGACTCTCAGCCAGCCACTTCTTAAATAAATAATGAGAAACGAGAAAATAATAAAAATAAAAATAAATAAAATTATGCAGCTGAAGTTTGTGGAATGCGAAAATAATGCAAATGCCTTTGGCCGCCGGTGTTTGCCTGAATGCAATCAGTGCAGATTATGTGGCGGCTGTGCAGGGGGCAGGCACGATGGAGGGGGCAAGCGGGGGGCGAAGGGTTGAAGAAATAATGCGCGTAATAACAAACTACAGGCGTAACTGAAATGGCAGGCTACTGCGCATTTGTCCAGCCGATGGGCGACGGCGACGGCGATGGCGATGGCGAAGGCGTTGGCCAAGACGGACGACGGGAGGCGCAACTGCGGTAATTACAATTGCCGCCGGACATGTACAGCAGTAGCCACAGCAGCAATGGAAATAGCAGTGGCAGCAGCAGTGGCAGTGGCAGTGGCAGTGGCACAGCTGCGTCCGTGTTGCATCAACGCAACAGATCTTGAAGCATCCTCGCTCGCCCAAGACAATTATATGCTGCCAAAGACGCATGCGCAGCTGAAGCAGTAGGAGCAGCAGCAGCAGCCGAGGCAGAAGCAGAAGCAGAAGCAGCAACAGCTTCCTGACTGCATTTTGTTTTTACGTTTTTATTTGAGCAAATTGCTGGCAACTTTGCGGACTGTGACTGACTGAATGATAGACTCACTGACTGCTTGACTTTCAGACTTTCAGGTTGACTAAATGACTGACTGTCTGACAGTTGCTGCTGCTGCTGCTGCTGTAGCTGCTGCTGCTGCTGTAGCTGCTGCTGCTGCTGTTGATGGTGGTGCAGTTTCGCTCCAATTGCAATTTGTTGCTGCCCTGTTGCCTGCAAGAAAAAATATGCCAAAATTGCTACGTGCGGGCGTTTTGCACAAGAATCTCGGACCGGAGACCAGCCGGCAACGATAATGATGATTGCAGCTAAATTATGATGCCCCGATGCGAGTGCAGAGCTCAGCAGAGAAAGTGTAGCACACACACCAACACACACACACACACACACACATACATACACATGCACACAGTTCACACAGAAGCTGACTGCAACATCATCAGGCCACGGCCATCGAAGGGACTTAGCGGCTTTATTTAGCATAACTCGCATCGCCATTGGGGCCGCAACAGCAGCAGCAGCAGCAGCAGCAGCAGCAAGAGCAACAACTTTAGCAACAACAACAACAACAACAAGATTAGCAAAACGTAATAATTGCAAAGCAGTTTGCCGCAGGTGTGCCACCCGCCTTTGTCCAGGACCCGCACCCGTACTTAACCGGCTGCCTCACAGAGATGAGCACGCCCGATAAAGCAGCAACAGCAAGGTAGTGCTTTTTTCCCTGCTGTAGCAACATCGGATGCTGGCAACGTCGCGTATTAAATGCATTTGATCCTTGATGCTGTTGAAAATGAACTGAGCTCGAACATGCAATCAAGTGGCCCCCGCGCGCCCCACCTGTGCGCCTTGGCCATCAATATGGCCAATTTCATGAATGAAAACTTGGCACAGACCGTCTTGGCCTTTTGCATGTACCAACAACACGCACACCCACACAGACGATTGAAGTGTGTAAGGAGCGAGCTGCTGTTGCTGCATGTTGCTGATGCTGTTGCTGTTGCATGTTGCTGTTGCTGTTGCTTTTCTGGCAACATTATGAGTCTTGGCGACGCTTGTTGCAGCTGTAGCGCATTAACCTCGTTCACTCTGCTGCCGCTGCTGCTGCCTCACAAGCAAAATATTTACCAAAGTGATTAAGATGCCTGAGTAATTTTTAACACAATTACGCTGCCAAGCAGACGACGGCACTCAGTAGTCAGCAGTCAGCAGTCAGCAGTCGGCAGTCGGCAGTGAGCAGTCCCGGGTCTGCAATTGTGAGCTGCTGCCTGCTGCTGCCTACCCCGTTGAATGGCTACTGTAGTTACACTGGCTCGGCGTCAGTTGCAGCTGCATTGCTGCTAATGACCAGGCCGAGCGACCGACGCAGCCACTTGCAATATAAACTGTGGCATTGTCTGACCAGCCAACTCCAACTCCAACTCCAGCTCCAACCCCAGCTCGGCTCAGAGCTTCAGCAACAGCCAGCGCAGCTCGCAGCAAGTGCCAACGGCAACAGCATCACGCGGACCCCCGAACTTTTGTATACCTTGGCCATTAGCGTTTCCACACTACGCTGACTTTAATCGTAGCGCAGCGTAGACTGCCGCCAGGTGGAAGGAAGAGGCAGGAGGTAGTAAGCAGGAGGCGGCAGACGGCTGGCAGCAGGCAGCGGGCGGCAGGTTGGGGGTGTTTTACGCATCAGTGTTTTTTGACAGCTTCTTCTCGTCCGGCGCAGCACAATAAAAAAGTTAACGTTTTGTTGTGATTTATTGTATATGCGATTTTTGGCAGGTGTTGAGCAGCGCCATCAGCGCTCATCAGTGGCTGTGTTTGCTTGCGGCATGACTGCAAAAGCGATTGCAACGTGTGGCGCATTCAATGCTCAGTGGCTACCCAGTCGAGGCGCAACGCACGACAAGGCAACAAAAACGTATAACGTTAACGTATAACGCACCACCAGCATTAGCAACCGAAGAGGCCAGAGCAAAAGCAAAAGTCGTGATGCGTTTGGTTTAGATTCGAGCGGCACGATTTTTGCCGGCGTTAGCCACATTAACAATGTTGCCACAAACAACGACATTGCCGTTGCCGTTGCCGTTGCTGTTGCTGCTGCTGCTGCCAGCTCTCAATGCGAGCTGTTGACAAAGAGCAAAGTTCGCGATTTGCGAATTTGTTGGCCATTTGCTAATAATATTTATACACTAGCATCGGGTGCAACGACTTTGTGTTTAGGCTTGACTTGTGAGAGCTGACTAAAGCTCAATTGGAGCTGCGAATATAAATATAAAGTCGCAGGCAAATTAAATATTAGTCTGAGTCTTTACTTTTCATTCAGACTAAAGTTACCTCTGATTTTTTCAACATCTATAGGTATATAAAAAAAATCCAAAATGATATAAGAAAATTTTATTACGACAGTTAATTTTTCGCTTATGTTGAGGACTTGGAAAACTGCATAAATATGAAATTAATTAAATAACCAAGCCGAGGACCCCAGCTGCCAGTACTTAAACTTAAGTTAGCTTAAATTTTTCATCAGGCCTATCTAAATAAATAATTAAATAACAAAAAATATTTATGGAAAAAGTAAATAAAATGATATTGATATCTAATTTTCGATGAGCTTGAGTTATGTCTTGATTTTTTGAATAAGCCAAGTCCATATTAATATCTGCGGTCTGTCAATAAAGTCTCTAAAGTTGAATACAAAATAAAATATATACGATTTTCATTAAGCTAAGCGAATATGATTAAATTTAGCTAAAGAGCGTTTGCCGAAATTCCACCTGTCTTAGCCATAATTTTCATCGATAATTTTCCCCAAAATTATGCACTTTAAATTAATATTCCATCAGCTAAAATATATCATTTAGGGAATTTTGGCATCAGCTTACCTGTTTGCTACGACAAAATCGAAGTTGTCTTGGGCTAGTCCGAATTTCCTTTCCCATTGTAGTGGAGCAATGAAAATGAAAATGAGCGCGGCACGCGCTTAGCTGCCGCACGACTAGAAAATTGCAGTGGTGAAGAGCTCCGCGCTTGGCTGAGCTCGCTGTGTTGCCAGGGGAATAGTAACTGAAAGGGGAATGGAAATGGGAACGGGAAGGGGAATGGCAATGGAGTGTGAGTGCGAGTGTTGCAGCCACGTGTTGCGCATGCGCTTTTGGCCCCTAGACATGCAGTTGGACACGACGCGACGCCCTGAGCCTGAGCCTGAGCCAGAGCCAGAGCCAGAGCCTGAGCCACAGCATTTGCGTTTGTCAGGGTCGACTGCATCGCGCGTTCGCTTCGTGCTCGGCACTTTGCAATTGTTCAGAAGCTCGTTCAGTTGTGCCGTTGCACGAAGCGACGCTTTGGCGTGAGGCAGAAGTAGCAGCAGCAGCAGCAGCAGCAGCAGCAACACCTTCACTCTCTGCGGTTGAGGCGATAGTGCGATGATGTATGGCCTGAACTTGCGCTGTTTATGCCTCTACTTCTGGAACAGGCACAACCACAGCCACAGCTAGAGTCGCAGCCCCTGCTCATGCCACTGCCACGGCCACGGCCACTGCCCCAAGCTCGACTGCTGCCTACTATTGTAGGCGTCAACTCACGTTTATGCTTTGTAGACATTATCGCGCCTGTTTATCTTTAAATTGCAAGTAAATTACGTTGGCTCGCGCAGCTTGATGTATTATGCTGGCTTGTTGAGTGGCCAGTGAGTGATTTGATGAGCTGAGCAATGGCCGTGGTGGGAATATGCCGTACTGCTCCAAGGGGCAATGAGAGCAATCGAGATGGATCGACACAGAGAGAGAGAGAGAGAGAGTGAGAGGGAGTGAGAGAGGGAGAGAGGGAGGGAGAGAGGGAGTGAGAGTTGTGCACACAAAGATCTTTAAAAACAACCCGTTTATTCGAGCACTAGAAACTAAACGTTGTGCGTAATAAATTAGCTATGAAAGCGTCGTCATGCAGTTGGATAAGTGTTATGTGTTATGTGTGTGGGATGTGGTGCGGTGGTGTGGCGTGGTGGGGGAAATCTCTCAGTAATGCGTCTCCGTGATCCTGACTTTGCCGTATTTACCGTGCAAGTGGTGCTTGGCAAAGGCCAGCAGGTTGGCGTGGCTGTGGACATCCAGGTGGGCGGGGTAGATGGTCTTGTGCACCACAGCGGCGTGGCTGTGGTGGTGCACCAGCGGAGCCGAGTGGTGGTGGTGCACCAGCGGAGCTGAGTGGTGGTCATAGTGGTGCAGATCGGCGTGGGCATGGGCGTACGTATCGATGTGCGCGTTGTTGTGGATGATGTGATGATCAACCACGGGGTTCCTGTAGTGCAGGAAGTGGTGTGGCTCATCGTGCACCACCTTGTGCACATGATGCACTGGCTCCACTTCATGGATGGGCTCGTGACTGACAATCTTGGCCGGAGCGTGAATGTGCTCCAAATGGCCGTGGTGCACGTCGTGATCCAAGTGCGCCGAGTAGCCGTCGTGGTGGTAGACGGGATGAGGCACAGCATCCACGTGGTGGTCGTTACCATCGATCACTATGGCGGAGCTGTGGCCCAAATGAATGCCATCGGAATGGTGAATATCGCCGTCCACGTAGGGTGGCAGCTCCTCGTGGTGCACATCGTGCTCCAGATGGGGCAGCAGGCCAGCCTGAGCCACGCCCAGCAAAGCCAGAGTGCAGATGAAGAACTAAAGAAAACTTCAACAGTTAGAAGGAATTCGGGAACCTCAATCTCCCGCCCCACACCCACCTTCATTGTGGAGATTTCACGCTTAATTCGAGTTATCCAAAGGTTAAGATTGACGGCGCGCCTGAGACACTTGTGCTGCTCTGCTGTTGTCGTTGAACTGTGCTCCAATCCGCTGCAGCCCACGCATTTTATAGAGCTGAAAGGCAGCTGCAATCGTTGGCCAATAGCACGTGCAGCCCGGCGGGTCGAACAGCTGGCCTGGTCGGTTGTCCCAGCCATTGAACGCTATCAAAATGGCCAAGCAATGAAAGTAATGCGATGTGTGCCGGGGCAGCCAAGTGGCCGGCGTGCCTGGAATGCCCAATGAGCTTTGTCGTCACACTTCCAGCAGTCCCGCTCATTATGTAAAGAGCGCGCCGTGGTCAATAAACCATTTCCAGCTGGCCAACTCGTCGACGCACCGGTCATGTCATAATTTGATGGCTTAATAGGCCTACCTCACCTTGCCAGGGGTTGCACCATTCTGGGCAGGTGTAGGCAAGGCCATCCGAGGCTTCGCTTCCACTGGCGCTCGCAGTGCATTTGGCAACCAATTTGGCAATCTGCTGCCAGTGAAAGCGTTAGCTCCAGCTGACCAACATATCATGCAGCATTTTTATAATGGCCAAAAATAATCCATTCACACAATTTGCATTGGGCACACACAATTCATAGCGCCTACGTGCGGAATTTGCCGGCGGCACACGATGTTCACGGCTTGCCAATATCTCCGTGTTTATATTGGCACGATGGTGCTAAAAACTAATGCTAGCAACTTGTGGGTGTTATCAGTCGTGACTTCCCCGATATTCGCGCCCTGCCAGCTGTGAATTGCCGCTTGTCAATAGGGAAACAAAACTCAGTTCAGATATAAAATAAATCAGCTCACCGAATAGTAAATACACTTGTAGTCGGGGCGTATTTCATTTATAGGGCAGCTAAACTAACATGACAACAGCTAAAATAATTTATTACTTTATTTTGTATATTTATTAGAAATTAGAAATAATCTTAAATTAAGGCAGACTTAAGCATTAAGCACTGGAAACTAGAGACTTCAGCTTGAATGTAATACTATATTTTAAGTTAATCCTGTGCTAAACATAAATGTAAGAATGTAAAACTTCCTGATAGTTGAACACGTTATTCTCGAGCATTGTGGGAAACTATTCAAATCTCTGTTAAATTTATTTATTTTTTAATCTAAAATTTATTTATAAAATTTTGTATAGATTCTGCCTGGTGAATCAGTTAAATAATAGAAGAGAATAGGAGAATAATAGAATTGAAGATATATAAGAAAAATGTATTATATAAGTATTTACAAAATATATGTAAGAATATCTGAGACCACTTTTTGAATTTATTATTTTTATTATTAAGAAGTTACAATTAATATAAAATTAACTCTAACTTAAGGCAAAGCACTGGCAGCAGGGGTCTTCGGCTGAATTTATTGTATTATACCGGATTACTGTGCGGGCAGATAATGCCAAATATAAGTTCAAATAAGTTCAAATAAATACAAATAGGCCAATGCAAATTAGTAAAGATGATATAAATCATTTCTTGTACAAATATTGAACTAAGGGATGACAGGATAGATTGCTTAACATTTTACAAGCCATATCTATTTTAAGCATGAGCACGCCATTTATTATTAATTATTAAGGTAAACCAAATAACTAAGTATACTAACTAGTTTGAAGCAACAGTCTTCTCTGTGTAAGTATTTTAATTCCTGATCGACGATACAAATTAGAAATTATATAGTTATTCGAAATTTAAGTGCATATCATAATATCAACAGACAGCACAATTAAGTCTGAGCACAAAAAAAAAAAAAAATAAATAAATAAATAAATAAATAAAAATAAATAAATAAATAAAAATTTTATAAGTTATTATGAGCTATTAATGTATAAATAAAACCATTATTTTTCAAATTTATTATTATTATTTTTTTATTTTTATAAACTTTTTTTCACAAGACATTATTTTTAGAAATATTTTTTTTAAAGTAATATTTAATTTAAACTAAATCTATTTAAAGGTAAATTAATAAATTTAAATTATTTCTTGGGTAATTGATTCGCATTATCACAAGACTGTGAATTGGAGACTAGTGACACAATTCCTGATTTTTTTAGTTTGAACATTATCCTTTGCTATTTAGTCTGAGCTTTATCCCTATTTACACTATCCTCTTAAAAATAAATATAATATAGTATAACCTTTTCTATGCCGAGTTTCTCTTACGCTGGGTATTGACAATACAGCAATTGTAATACAATATTTTAATATTTCCACTTGTATGATCTGAAGACATTAAAATTCGCATAATTTCTATAAAAAATTTGTATACATATCTAAGCATGTGTTCATTCGTCATGGCGATTGCATTTCCTGTCTAGACGGCAGACACGTTCCGTAGATTATGAAAAACTGAAGGCAGTTAGCTGGTGGAGCCGCAGAGTCAAAGCCAGGCCAAGATAAGTCGAATCCAAAGTGGGTCAGCCTGTGGCTAATTACATAATAATTTGGTCAACTTGATCACGTTGCTAATGAGCAGCGTTGTATGCAAGGTGGTAAGTCCATGGTGGCGGCTGGCAGCGGGGTAGGGGTCCCCACTATCGCAACTATCGTTTTGGGCGGCGGCGTCAACACCCCGAAAACTACATAGAGCCGTACGTGCGGCACATGTGCAATGGGGCCCAGAGTGGAACTTGAAAAGCGGCGATCGACTTAAAATGCCCGCCAGGTGCCCACGCGACGCGCTTGTCGTCGACCTGTCCACAGATTTGAGTGCGAATTTGTTTTGGTTTCGATAGAAGCGCAAACGCAATTTGTACGCCTGACAAATACTCGAACATTTCCAATGAATTTTGCGTACGAATTTGACAATTCTTGGCGCTGTCTTTACTACTCGCGCTCTTTTGGTCTTTTGGAATTGCCAGTTCCTGTCTGTCGGTCTCTCTGTCCGTGTGTTGCTCTGTTTGCCAGTCGTTCCGTGTGTCTTACACCTGCCCCAACAGCCAATTAGCTGCAAAAGTATCTCCGTCCCATGCAGCGGGCTGCGATCGCAGTTTGCAGCTCGCAGCTCACATCTCAAGGGGCGGCAGTGCAGCATTTGTAATTAGACGGGGCAGCTACAACGTTGACGGCAACTTATTTCAATATGCAAATTATTGTTAGACCAGCATAGAAAAAAATCTACATAAAGCAGCGCCGACGAGCAGCAGCAGCAGAAGCAGAGGGAGACAGCCACACAGACAAAAATCTGTATGGGAAAAGAGAGAGAAAGAGAGAGAAAGAATATACGAAAATAAAAATAATAAAAAAATCTGTAATTTATTTGCACAAAAATGACGGCAAAGTAGTTGGTGGTGCGGGTGCGGGTGGTGGTGGTGGTGCCTACTTGTAATTGAGTGCATCGTTTGCGGGGCAACATTAGCGGGGCGGTGGGTAGCAGGTGAGAGTAAGCTGTATTAGCGACGCTGCCAACAACTAATTTAATGCCAGCGGCAACAGCAACAAACAGCAGCAGCAGCAACAACAGAGACGGCAACATGTCAACGGCAACGCCTGCTGCCTGCTGCCTGTTGTCCGTCGCCTGCGGACTGCAACGAGGATGATCCCATTGATGGGGGCGCTTGACAGGCGGGACGGGCGAGGCGGCAGCACTTGTGCATATTTTATGCCTGCGGCTCTCCGGCTGCGGTGTCCATTGTGGGCAGCTCTGCACACGGGGCTGAAATAATTTTGCATCACATATTTTGTCGACCACAAATCAACGGCATGAAATATTTGATGGTAATTAATATTGTAAGTAAAACGTATTATGCTTTTGAATAAATGGCTCTGCTGCACTTAATAGCTCCTGGCTACAGAGTCATACATGCTAGCTGCAAATGACGAAATGGCATGGAAGGCGGCCAATGAGTAAGTTTTTAGGAATTTATTTTTTGAGAACTCAAGAATTATTTTTACAGCCAGAGCCCATGAACATTGGGAATTTTGTGTAGAATGATTACATATTATAATCCACACGTATCTAAAAGGCGAAAGCTGGCTTGATCTCATAATTTATAACTAAGAATATAGTTAAGAATAACAATCGTGTCGATAAAGTCTGTCCAGTTTGTCCGATTCGATTTTATAGGCTGTCCGGTAGATGTCTTTGTTTTCTACATGTTCGCCTAAGAAGCTATCAAGCTTATCTCGAATCTTATGTCTTTGGTCCTTAAAGCAAAAATCTCTAAATCGAAAATTTTTAATGAATTGTTTATTTTTGATATCAGCTTCAAATTTCATAAAATCAAACCATAGCTGGAAATAAATTTAATATAAAGACTCTTCTGTCATTGGACTCTATAATTTGGAGACTAGTTCAAATATTCAATATATATTTTATATGTTCAAGAAATCATTCACATATTCATTTAAAGAAAAACAACAGAACTTATTGCATTATTATATTAATATCAGAAATAAGTGAAAGTGCTCTAGATTTTTCTTTTGTGATAATCAAGGTATGCTATGAAAATACAATAGATATAACAGAAATATCCATTTTTATCGAATAAGCTATTGTACAAATAGAATTTTTCAACAATAGGCTCTACTAGAGCAGTATACGGAATGACGCACAGACAGACTGCAGCGTGGGTCTGCAGCGCCTTCGTCTGCAAGTTTACATTTTCGCAAAGAATTATACTCCGAATTCACATTTTCAACGGGTTCACGGTAAACAAAAATTAATAAGTTAATAAGCAATTCATAGATACATAATTGAATAAAAAATGCTGTCAATAGTTTATAGTAACGCGAATATTATTAATGACTATTAAGAATTTATAGAATGAAATTGATTTTTCAATAAGCTATACAGACTAGATATGTATGTAGGTGTCAATCAGTTAGGTATATATAAAGATAATAAATGATTTCTTCCACACTAAGACACCGCTAACACTTGTACTACATTAATTGAAAATAATTATTATTTTATATTGTGATCAAAGTTAATTGATATTCGTTTTGTCGATTGTCACAACAAATCATATCAAATGTCTGGCTATATATTTTATTTTTGGATAACGCTTAA